GGCTGTAAGGGGCTGGGGTTTATCACAGGCTCCACATCTGCCTGTTAGAACCTCTTGGAGCCTCAGTTTCCTCATCTGCAAAATGGAGAGGCTGTTATTATCTCCCCTGAGGGTGGTTTTCCTGGGGAATAGATGGGCATCTTCTAAAGTGCTGAGCATGGAGCCTGGCGAACACTAAGCAGCCATTAAAGACCATGTGGTTGAAGGCACACAGTCTGTGGTGACCAAGTCAGAGCTTTCTTTCATTCATTTATTTATTCCACTGCTATTTCCTGGGTACCTACTGTGTGCCAGGCCCTGAGGACATGGCAAGGGACATGACAAAGTGCTTATCTTCAAAGGAATTATATCCTAGAGGGGCAGGGGACATGGTGGTAGGGCTGGCAAGGGGAACAGATAATCAGCAGATAAGTCTAAAATGGCGGGGAGCAATAAGGGCCATGGGTAAAACAGATGCAGGGCGAGTTCCTCCCAGTGGCGCCTGTAATTTCATCAATTATTATAATTATAATGCTCAATACTATTTGTTTAAGTACCTGCTAGGTGCCGGGTGATGTCTACCTCTTCCTACAGGGTAGCTGCTAATAACAGATGAGGAGATGGAGGCTCAGAGAGGTTAAGTGACTTGCCCAAGGTCACACAGCTTTTGGCAGGGTTGAAATTGGGACTCAGGTCTGTCTCACCCCTCACACATTTTGGAGGATGTTGGAGACAGTGGGAGTGACAGACATGATCCCTGTCGTCTTATAAACCTGAAACTTGGCTGGGCAGGCAGACACTGGATCAGCCTCACACACTTGCCTCTGCCGGAGGCTGTCGCGACCGTCAGGACATTGTGAAATGGGACGCGGTGATAGCAACAACATCAAAACTACAACACAACGGCTGATGTTTCCCAAGCACTCACTACACGCGGGGCACTGTGCTCAGCACCACTCAGCACCCCAGGTCGTGATTCGGTTCACTCAGACACATAGTGCTGTGATATTGCACCCATTTCACAGAGGAAGCAACGAAGGGTCAAAGAGGATAACAGGCCTGATGTTAGTCACATAGCCAGCTGGATGCCCAGGACGGTTTCCTCCATGGTCAGTGTGGGCTGGAGTGGGCTTGGACCATCCCAGTCTAATGTGGGTGGGTAAGGGCAATGTTAAAGTTAATAGCAAGAGTCAAAAGTGACTATTTTGCGTCCGGAAGGATTGGACTTTACCAGCCTGTATCTGGATCCCTGAGAGCTCTGAAGCCAAGAATGACTGCCCTTCATCCACCCCTTGACTACAGCCTTCACTTCTCAGGGCAGTGAGTGCTGAGGAAGCCCAGCTTGGTGGGGAGGGAAGGCCACCGCACTTGATGAGACCTCACTCTGGGCTGTGGGGGAGAAAGCTCTCCCTCTGGAGCTCAGGGAAGTGAAATGCGCCCCAGGGTAGAGCTGGCCTTCCCCGCCTTGGGGGTGGGATGTGGGTGGAAGCCTTCTGCAGTTAGCTGTCCGTCTCTTGCCATCTGCACGATTGTGCACTGCTCCAGAGACAGAGACCCAGGGACGGTCGCCACTGGGCTGTAGAGCAGAGGGCACACAAAATTACCACAGGAGTCTTGGGCGGGCAGCCTCCTCCTGTGCCATCTGCTCCCCCCACCAGAGAGAAGCCAGGGAGAGGGGCCGGTCTTAGAGGACAGGCCAGGCTGTCTGCGCCCCCTCGATTCACACGCTCCATTCTTGGTCTGATAAAGAGGACACAGTCTCCTGTCAACTGCAGGAGCCTGCCAGTGGTGCCTGCTCCCCGCGCCTGGGAGTCAGTTCATCCCTGGGAGCAGGTATTAGTCTACATGGGGTGCCCATAGGCTGGGTCTGCAGCTCAGCTCTGCTGCCCACGTTGAGTGTCCTGAGCAAGCCAAAACTTTCTCTTGGCCTCAGTGTCTTCAACTGTAAATGAAAAGCCCTCCTCCTTACCTCTCAGCCCTCTTGTACTTGTAGAGACTTGTTACCTCCATCATAGATAAGAACTGTAATAATTGAAGTATTTGGGGCCACATTCTCATGCCAGCCTCTGTACTAAGTGCTTTAGTATTGTTAATCTTTACCATCACATTTTACAACAGAGGAACTGGAGCACAGAGAGGTTAGGTGACTCACTCAAGGTCACACATCGAGAACGCAGTGGAACAGATTTCTTCCTCACCCTCCATCTGATTGTCCTTTTCTCTCATGTCCTTGAGGGTCTATACTGACATTGACTGTCTCCCGAGGGCTTGGTTTTCTTGTGCGTTTGATACTCTGGAGTGTGAGCTGGTGCCTGCGGTTGGAGAGCTTTCTCGTTGCTCCTCTAGGGGCCTGGGGAATCACTGGACCAGGGGTGAGTCTTCCCACTTGCCTTGGAGCTGCTGGAGCATGCAGGGGGATATGTTTGAGCCTCAAATCTGTGTAAATGCAGGAATCAGCTACCAATTTCCAGGAGATTCTGGCTTCCTCCAACCCCACCGCCCACCTCCTGCACTGGCTGCGGACCTGTGTGCTTGTCTAGCTTTGCCGGAGGGTGGGGACAGGTGCAGACTTTCCCTGTCTGTCTGCCCTTTCTCTGCCAGAGGATCTATCCATCAGGCTCTATCTCTTTTCCACGGCCCTGCCTCAGCAGTGCTCAAAGCCTGGTCTTCTGTCACCTTGTGGGCTTAATCCCAAAGCTCCCTCCTTTGCGGAGCTCAGCAGCGTGAATTCTGTTCCCACCTATCTTGCTTGCAGTTCTGTCTTCAACTTGTGGCTGAGATAGGTTCCCTTGTCCTCCTGTGGCGCAGTCCAGCATGACAGATCTGATACAGCATTTCCTGATTTCATGTAGCAAAAGCATTGTTGGTTTTATTGCTGGACCAGAAGTTGAGCCTGTGCATGTGCGCCATGGCTCCCCTGTCCCTGCTGCCCTGTGCCAGGCCCTCTGTTGGGCACGTGTTGCTCAGAGATGTTTTCTTTTTCTTTTCTTTTCTCTCTCTCTTTTTTTTAAGATGGAGTCTCACTCTGTCACCGAGGCTGGAGTGCTGCGGCACAGTCTCGGCTCACTGCAACCTCCACCTCCTGGGTTCAAGCAGTTCCCCTGCCCCAGTCTCCCAAGTAGCTGGGATTACAGGCATGTGCCACCATGCTCAGCTAATTTTTGTATTTTTAGTAAGGATGGGGTTTCACCATGTTGGCCAGGCTGGTCTTGAACTTCTGACCTCAAGTGATCCACCAGCCCCGCCTCAGCCTCCCAAAGTGCTGGGATTACAGACGTGAGCCGCCGCACCCAGCCGCCTCAGATATGTTTTCTAGTACAAAGGAAATGACAAATACAGAGAGTAAGGAGCCCAGTAGGTGCTCAAATAATATCCTTTCCCGATCCCAAAGGTTGAGTTGAGTTCCACAGGGGCTCCATTCCCCTTGATGCCAAGTTTCATGTTTGTGGAGTCAGGCACTGGCTACGCATTTCTGCATTTGGCATGCCCCCCTCTCCTCTACCTTCTCAGCAGCTCCTGTCGGGAAACGTTGGCACGCTCCACGTTTCATCAACGAGGAGACTGAGGTGCCGAGAGGAGAAGGAGCTCGCCCAAGTCCCAGTCAGTAAGTGGCGGAGCTGGGACTTAAGCCCAGGCCCTCTGTCTCCAGAGCCCCTGTGTTAGCAGGGACGCTGTGGGTGGGCTGGCATGGCACACCATGGCAAAGCCAGCCCTGGCATGGAAGCCATCCAGGCCGGCAGGTGGACAGGCCTACCTTCTGCAGGGTGGGAGGGCAGCAATTTGGGTAGGGGGCAAGTTGTTTGTGTCGATCTCCCTCTTGGAGAGAGAGGCCCCAAGGCGAATGAGGAGGCAGGTGAGGAAAGGACCTCCCTGGGCATGGGACAAAGTGACCTGAGGCTGGAAGCAGCTTGGAGCAATTCATCCACCTCCTCACGCACTGCTTAAGCCATCTCCATCCCAGCATTCTGAAACACCTTCTCTGGCCTCCATTTGCCTGCTCCGGACTCAGAGGCCTCTTCTTCCAGGTGCCTTCCCTGAAACCCACCCAGGCTATATGAGAGAGAACGTGCCCAGTGCTCCTCAGGGCTTACACCACTCACAGGGCTTCTCATCGGCTGCTTTGGCCCATCTTCACCTGTAAAGCAGACATAGCCCTCGAACCCATTTTGCAGCTGAGGAGACTGAAGCCCAGAGAGGCTAAGAGGCTAGGTAGCAGCACCATGTTTATGCCAGCTCTGAGTGCCTGCCTGCCCGCACTGTCTCCTGCACCCCAGCAGCTCAGGACCCTGTGCCTCCACTGGAGATACAGTCTAGTGACAGGGGCCACAGAAGAAGGGAGGGGATGGACATCTGAAATAGCAGGCGACACACAGAAGGAATAACAGTGGTCATGGAAACAAGAGGTAGGGTGCAGGCGGGTGCCAAGAGCTTTGCATGGACCAACTCTTGTTCTCCCTCATGGCCATGAGAAAGCTACCAATGATATGCCCCCATTTTACAGCCAGAGAGACTGAGGTGCAGGAAGGGGCACTCCTTGTCTAATAGTCACAGAGCCAGGGATTCATGTTCCTGGGATTCAAACTCAGGCCTTCTGGCTCCAGAGCCAGTGCCCTCTGTGGGTGTTGGAGAAACACTGCTTTACGATGCTGTGAGCTTTGTGCACGTGTGCAGGTTACATGGTCATGTAAGTGTGCTCGGGAGTGAGGAATGGGGACTGATGAGCTAGAGGAGTCCCCCCCGATCTGGCCTTCCAGAGCCTGGGCAACCAGCCCGCATGCCTTCCTCCTTTATCGCCCAGTTGACTCCCCAGGGAACTGGGGGTTGAATGGATGTGTGCATAATGGGAGGTGCTCAACTCAGCACCCCAAGAGGGAGCTTTGTTGGAAGTTAGGAATGGGTACTCAGTCGAGCTTTGGAGAGCCATTGCATCAAGCTCAGCCTCACTCCTTAGTCAGGCCCAGCGTCCTCCCAGATGCCTGGGTCCTGACCCCAGCTTGTCCCCTCTTCTCTCGTCCTCGCAGGGAGCCGGGAGGCCGCGTTCACCTACGCCATCATTGCCGCCGGCGTAGCCCACGCCATCACAGCTGCTTGTACCCAGGGCAACCTGAGCGACTGTGGCTGCGACAAGGAGAAGCAAGGCCAGTACCACCGGGACGAGGGCTGGAAGTGGGGTGGCTGCTCTGCCGACATCCGCTACGGCATCGGCTTCGCCAAGGTCTTTGTGGATGCCCGGGAGATCAAGCAGAATGCCCGGACTCTCATGAACTTGCACAATAACGAGGCAGGCCGAAAGGTAGGCAGCCAGGGAGGGCAGCTGGGCGGCGCTCGTGGCGACGCTGCAGAATGGCTTGTTTGGAACGTCTGGTGCTGGGTGTCTGCTGAGGAGCCACAGAGCTCTGCCCTCAGCCGCATTCTGCTTGGCACTGGCATCAGCTTGTGGCTGGTCAGGATTTGTGTATGGCATGAAGCTTGTCAGTTACTGGAGAAGTTGGATAACTGAGTCTCCCTTAAGACGAATTGGGAGTTACCCAGCAAGATGGGAAGACCGTCAGATGTGAACTCTTATCCTTGGGAGGGGCCAAATAAGCCTTTCCCCCTTGCTCCCTTCCTGCCTCCCTCCCTCCTTTTTTCTCTCCCTCCCTCTCTCCTTCCCTCCCCGCCTCCCTTTTCTCAGGCTTCTGGCCACATCCTGTGTGTCAGAGCCTCCCAGGTGGCCCTGATGAGTCACACAGAATTGCTCACCTGGTGTGCCCCAGGATGATGTCCTGGGGGAAATTACCGGGCCCTGCCTGTCTAGTCCCATGGCTGGGAGCTCCTGCCCAGGGTGGCACATCTCTGCAGGGGTCCAAGCTGCTCCCTCCTCCTGGTTTTTGTGATCAGATCACCCTACAGGTCCCAGGTCCCAGGTCCCAGGTCCCAGGCTCCCTCCTGCCCTTAAAGCCCTCTCTTTCTCCAGGCAGACTGGAGTAGGACAAGTGGCTTCCCTCTCCAGCCTTGGTTTCCTCACCTGGCTGGGTCATGGTGAAAATTAAAGGAGAGAATAGCATGTGGCCTGCAGCAAGTCAGGGCCAGGCTGGGTCCTGTGGGAGTGTTTTCTGTGAGCCACACAGCTCCACCGGGTGTGAGGCTTATGGTGGTTGCTCTGTCATGCTGCCATGAGCCCGTGGGCGACACAGACACAGGGAAGTGTCAGAGGTTACAAGACCAATCTCAGTGGGCTTCCTGGAGGAGACAACCCCCAAAAGATGAGTCAGGTTTGACTAGGCAGGGAAGGGAGATGGAGGCAGCCAAGATCTGCGAGTGGGGGAGAAATGGACACAAACCCAGAGGTAGGGGCAAGGGGGCCAGTGAGTAACCACACTGGCTGGTCTGTGGACCCCTGAAAGGGGAGCCCATGCAGGATGGGCCGAGGAGCACAGCCTTATGTTCTGCCCCGGACCTGCCTGTGGCTGCCATCTCCTTGACCTTCAGGTTTCAGCCATGATGCTCTGTCCCCAGAGAGGCCTCCCTTTCCATTCCTTCCTAGCCTTTTCTCGGAGGTTGCCTCGTTCCGTGGCTTTCTCCCCTCTCTAGACTGTGAGCACCCTGAGAACGGAGGCCTGGGCTGTCTCAGCCACAGCAGCACTCCAGAGTGGGCACACAGTAGGCACTCTGCAAATAGGTATGGAGTGAGCGGATGAGTGCCTTGTGGTTTCTGGGGAGCCACTGATGGTTCTGGGGCAGGAGAGGGGCAGAAGTCAAAGACCCTTGGGAAGCAGAAGGCTACCTTGAGTGGGGTCAGGAACTGGGTCTGGGTGGAGTGCAGGCCGGGCCTGACTTGATGTTTCTGAGCAGGAACAGCTCTCCCAGCTCAGGGAAGCCCAGCGGAGGGCCCTACCTCCCCCTGCCTGCCCCATGCTCTCTGGTTAGGGAGGACCCTTGGGGCTGGCTTTCTAGAAAAGCAGTTCTATAGGCACTATGTACTTCCTGAGCCAAAAGGTGGGACTGCGGGCTCCCTGGGGCATGCAGAGAAAGGCCCGAGCCACACCTGCCCCGCCCCTTTGTGCCACAGGAGTGGAAATGGAGGCTCAGTGAGGGTACCAGCTGACCCTTGGGGACTTAGGTCAGGACTTAGGACTCAGCCAAAGCACGGCAAGGTGGTCTTCTGGCTGGGCCCCAGGTGGCCAGACCCTCATATGCTGCCATAGGTCACCCCAAGAGCCCCGACAAGGGCAGAAATGAAGAAAGCCGCCAGCTGCCGTGGGTTCCAGACCCTCTTGTGACCTCAGTTGCCACATCTGTTGATTAGGACTATGACCCTCACCCTGTTCTGACTGGTGCCAGTCGGTTCCCCAGGATTTTGCAACACACCATTTACTCGAAGCCTTCGGACCCCACCCCAGAAGCCCCCACCCGACAGGCTGCCACGGGCCCCACTCATGGCAGAGCTGGGGAACTAATGGGAGCAAATGGGCCAGCCTGCCGCTGCTCCTGGCTGAGCGCCTCAGAAAGGCTCGCAGATGTGTTTATCACCCGTTCCCTCACTCCTGCTGCGAGGAAACAAGACTCAACCTGACCACAGGCTCTGGGGCTTGTTGGCAGCTGGTGTGAGAGAAGGGGAAGTGGGGAGGCCAGGGTAAGGGGGTACACTATGTGGCTTCTGCAGACCTGATGAGGGGCTGCCCCAGGGCTGCAGGAGAGCCACCGACTCCCCTGGCAGATGAGGGGGAGTAAATGCTGCTGGGACGTCCTGCCCTCACAGGTCTCCAGGTTGAGTCTGAGCCCAGCAGGGTGTGGGCCATGGGGCAGGGGCAGCACCTCGGGGAGGCTGCAGAGCGTCCCTCCTTTCCCTCACTGCCTCATCAATTGTGTGGTCTGCAGGCCAAATCAGAATGGTTAGGTGCCAACATCTTTTGGCGACGTGATTTTAGAATTACAGTTTCCCCTATCAGCATTTTGGACTGAAATCAGTGGCCGTTCAGGTCGGGGTCCTAGAATACGAAGTTCACAGCCTAGCATGTGATGTGTGGGACTCCTCAGGTGGGAGGAAGGGAAGGGTCAGAGGCATTGTGTTGAAATCATTGGATGGTGGAATCTTTGTGGCTTTGAATAATTTCTTTCCAGCCTTTTGGACAGCAAGGACATTAACTACCCACAGTTTTTGCCCTCAAGACTAGATGCGCAGTCTAGTGAGAGAATCAGGTACGAGAAGCAAAACTTGTGATTCAGGGCTACACATTGTAGGAGAAACATGACACAGAAAGTGCAGAAAAGAGGTCAGAGGAAGAGTGCTTTGTTTCCTCTTGAAGACAAGAGTGCTGGGCAGAAGAAGGGAACTCTTAGCAGGGCTTTGAAGGATAAGGAGTCCTCCAGGTGGACGAAGCATCAGGAAGGAAGAGGGCAGTCCCAGCAGCACAGGCATGTTCAAAAAGCATGAATTCCTAACAAAGCAAGCCGTGGGAGCTCCGCGTGGCTGAGGGTGGGGAGGATGAGTGATGAGGCCGCAGAGGGGGCTACATCGAACACTTGGCCTTGAATGTCAGAACAAGGAGTGGGACTTCGTCTTAGGCCAGAGGTGCCCAGAAGAGGCTTTGGTGGGGCAGTGCTTGGCAGGTTCTGGCCCTGTCTGGGATAGAGTGGAGTACAGAGTGAGGGGCTGTGACCACGGTTGGTGCCTAAACCCAGCAGGGGCCTCGGGGTGCATGGCTGGGGATGCTGTTTAGGAGGCATAATGGGTAGCAGCTGTCTCAGGTGTGTTCGGGGTAGAGGGGGTGGGGGGGTAACGGAAGCCCTAGTATATGTAGGATTGCCTGGTGGGAGGTTTAAAGGGGGAAGGCAGGAGAGAGCCTGGGCCACAGCCTGAGCAAATGGGTACTCAGACAGGAGGGCTATGGAAAGGAAAGGGCAGTCAAGGAGGCTGGAGGGGAAGCAGGAGAACCTGGGCCTTCTGGGTGCATTTGTGAGTGCATGTAGACACCCCTCTCAGGGGTGCAGAGAAGCCTGGGCAGCTGCTTCCTAGACCTGGAAAGCCAGCCAGGAGCCAGGGGTCTCTGGGCCTCCATGATAATATTGTACCTGGCAGGCCAGGCTCTCAAGGACTTACTGTACAGAGACAGAAGTGCAGCAGGGAGCTCCAGGGGGCCTGGGGGAGGGGGGCCCTCAGCAACCCCTTCATGAGAGTGTGGTGACTGAGCCCAAAAGAGGCAGCCCTGGGGATGGGGGCCCAGCTGGGACAGGGCTGGCCCCTGCTGGAATGCGCTGCTTGCTCCAAGGGAGGTGAGCTCAGGGGGATGGAATTCCACCGGAGTGAAAAGTCACCTCCCAGTCCCTGCCCAGCCTCTTGCACACGGAGGGGTGTCGGTCTTGTCCCTTCCTGCCCTGCCCCGTCTGGTCCGGGTGCTCCTGGGAGCTGGATTCCCACCCCTGCCCTGGCCGCAGGCGGGCGTGTGAGTCAGGGGACACCAGGGACCAGCCCCTGGCAGCTGGGGTGGAGCCCAGATAAGACCTGCTCAGCTATGCTCCTCTCTGCAGTCCCGAGGGCCACTTGCATATTTGACCAGATAGAGTGGCCAGTGGTGGCATGTTGAGGGCCTGAGGAGCGAGACTCCGCCCAGCCCGAAGCTGACTGGCCAGGCCAGGCTGGGAGGAGGCATCCTCAGGCTGCTGTGCCCTCCATTCCTGCCCCGCCCCTGGGCACTGGTGTGGGTTCTTGCCCTTGAGAATGGAAAGGCTTGCAGCCAGGACTTAGGGGACTTGGATCAAGAATAGCCCTGGGGACATTGTAGCCCTTCAGAGCCTTGGCTTCTTCCAAGGCAGGAGGAAGGGAGGGTCTCCAGGTCTGAATGACACGGGGTTCTTGGGACCATTGGACCCCAACCTTGTTTCCAACTACTCTCCCACACACACCACCCTCCAATCACACACTGCCACAGTCAGCGAAGCTTATTCCCACCCCAGGGCCTTTCCACAGGCTGCTTCCTCTGTCAGAAAAGCTCTTCCTTTGAATCTTTGCAGAACTAGCTCCTTCTATTCCCTGAAGTCCCTGTTCAGATGCTGCCTTTCGGGGGAAGTCCTCCCTGACTTCCCTCCCCACTGTCTGCCTCATCTTTCCCCCTCACCCTGCTTTACTTGCATGTGAAACCACCGCACAGAATGATCTCATTTGCACAGCTCTTTGTATCTTTATTGCTTGTTGCATCCCACTGCAGGGTCAGCATCACAAGGGTAGTGATGGCCTAAGTTCACCCCTGTGCCTACAACAGTACCTGGCGCATAGTAAGTGCTCAAGAAATGTTTGTTGAGTGAACAAATGAC